AAACATAAATCAAAGCACAAGTGTAGTCGGTTCTGAAAAAGAAAAACAATAGTCATCGTCAATTAGTCATTGCTCATCAATAAAATACAAATACTCAGAACATGAAATAATAAATCCTCAAAGTACCTTTCCAGAATTGCATACGTCTTTTCCGCTCTCATTTTACTGAATCTTTTCAATAACCCAACAAACAAGAAATAAAGTTCAGACCCATTGATTTTTTCCGCTGCAAATTTCCAAATCTCATCTGATTTTTCTTTTAGTGGATAATTTTCCTGGAAAATCAATTTCTTCTCTTTTTCAATATATAGATCATAGTGTATTATTATTACCGGTTCATAGATTTTACACTTTTGCTTTCATAAAATCTCAGCTTCACATATCTCAATTCGAAGCTACTTTCAATCAGTTTCAGCATGTGTGCTAGAAACTCTTTGTACACTAACCCCAAACCCTGCAAACACCTAGCTGATTACAAGCTCAGACGTGGCTTCGATGGCTATGATTCCCTCCAAAATTGCCTCAAAACCACCCCTAAGGAAGAGCTAGAGTGTTAAACACAACACTAAAATACTAGATGCAGTTCTGTAATGAAAGTCAAGGTAGACTTTACATTTGTTGATTTGCTCTTCAATCTCTTGTTCAAGCCACATTCTTTTGCATACCCAATCTGAGAAGGGCCATGAGGTAGCTATTGACATGAAGATCGGAGCTTTATTGTTGTTTATGTCGTGATCAGGTCTATGATCCTGATTTTGATAAAGTAGTTGTGTCAACAAGTCAAAGACTTGCCTGGCGGTAAAAACAATGGTTTCGAGGTTTGTTGGGAGAGATCAAGCAAGAGAAAGAGGTTAGATTCAGGGATAGGATTAGATTTGAAGAAATCAAAGCTGATGATTTTGATGAGAGATCGGAGAGCGAAATCGTGTTATCCATTGGGATTGAGGGGATTGAACATCTGGGAGTACTTGTTTCATGAATTCTGTGTTGCGGGCTTTGCTTCACGCCCCTCCTTTGAGGAATACTTTCTCAGTGATCGGCACAACAGTGTTCAATGCAGGAAAAGATCTGGTGAAAAGGTCTGCTTGCTTTGCGATATCGATGCCCTTTCTTTGGCTATGTTTTCCGGTGATCGGACCCCGTATAGCCCAGCTCAGTTTCTTTATAGGTATGAAATTAATAATTTCTGCCTTTAGCACAATGTTTTGATTTACTTGAGATCTGGAAGTGGTGTTTATTAATAAATATGCTTGTGTCTGTAATCAACTTTCAGCCTCTTGATTGAAACTAAAGAAAAAGTGTGAAAATTTTATGACATTAGAAGCTCCACATATCCATTGGAACAAGCATAACGTGAAATGAAATGAGTCTGCTTTGGTTGTTTGATGAAATTTTAATTAGACCGAAAGTTTGGTTCGATTGTTTAGGCCTTTTCAGGTATTGTAAAGATTAGTCAGTCTTAGATCAAATTCTTCATTATAAACGAAAATGACAATGTTTTGGTTGTTGAGATTTCGTTTGAGTAATCTTCAATTTCGTCCTCCCTTTCTTGGGTTGCAAAATGTCTAAATATGGATCGATTGCTTTAATGATGGATTTTTGTTGTTGTTTTTGAAGCTGGTGGCAGCATTCATTGATTTTATCTAGTTATGAGGAGCAGGATGCTCATGAGTTCTTCATTTCGGTCTTGGACGTGATTCATGAGAAGGAAAGCAAAATGCTGAACTCTAGCAAAGGTAATAAGATGTGATATGATGTTTGCTTTCATCAATTTCACATCGTATGTGCAATATTACATTATCAAAAGGTGGTAATGGTTCTCTATCTCATATGCTGTTAATATGTGACCGTAAATACAATTTTACTTCTGGTATATGCATTGTAAGACACCAACCATATAGGCAGAATACAAAATTGATTAATTTTTAGAGGTACTTCAGATTTTGATATCGTTGTGATAATGTTGAGAGGCAGGAAACAATAGAACTGATATGTCGTCTCATTTTTTTACAAAAGCTATCAAGGGTAACTTAAGAATTTTAGAAATTTATTTGGAATGGTAGCGATGTTTCTTGAATTGATGATCTGGATGTAATCTGGGTTTGAAAGAAATGAAGTTTGTCACATTTGTAGTTCTATTTCACTCATGAAATTGTTAATTCTTTTACACAGATGATGGAGACTGCCAATGTATTGCTCATAGGGCATTCTCCGGGTTGTTGAGATCAGATGTCAGTTGTATCTCCTGCGGATTTACTTCGACAACTTATGATCCTTGTGTTGATATTTCACTCAACTTGGACACGAGTAGCATGTCTCCATCCAATGTAGCTAACAAACCCATTAAAGCAGATGAGAAGACGGGTGTTTCTACTTTCAGGTTGTTTGAATTTGTTTACCAGAGCAGAGAAGTTAGGTTCTGATCAGAAACTCCATTGCCAGAATTGTCAAGAACTACGTGACTCATCAAAGCAACTTTCTATTAGAAGGCTCCCATTGGTGCTGTGTTTACATATAAAGAGAGTTGAGCACTCTTTAGTCAGAAAAATGTCGAGGAAATTGATCAATATTTGCAGTTCCCTTTCTCATTGGACATGACCCCATATTTGTCGTCCTCCATTACTAGAAAACAGATTTGGAAATAGAATCTTCGCTTTCGAATATGAAAACTCTGATAGTTGTGCAGAATACAAGATTTTTTCTGTGATTGCTCACTCAGGAATGCTGGAATCAGGTCATTACGTGACTTATCTGCGACAAAAGAACCAGTGGTACAAATGTGATGATGCTTGGGTATCCGAGGTTGATGAAGGAATTGTGAGAGCTTCGCAGTGTTATATGTTGTTCTATGTACAGGAACCTCTTTTCTACAAAGCAAACGAGGATCTGAGTTGTGTTCGTATTTCCCCGTGCAGAGATCCGTTCTCGTCCACAGCCGGTTGTTCCTCTAATGCAAAATAGTCATGTAAGGCCAGCTAAAGAGAGTTCAATCAACAGTATTCTTTGAAGGAGCCTTACGGAACAATATCAGAAAAAGACTAATCATCAGGCAGATATCCATATAGCAATTCCATGGCTACCGATCGTTCTCCATGACGGGTATTCTTACAATGATCCTCAACGGTTATTGACCAAAACAGGGAAGTGAGATCAATATATTTTTTCATGTTGGCTCTCTACAAGATTCTTAGTCTGAATGTTTTTTCAACCGCGAGCAGTCAGCACAGGTAAATAGTTTACAGATTTACATTGTATACCCCTTGACTGCAAAGTTTCTAAAAGGGTCATTTTCTTTTCATGATTTTATATTTTGTTTAATCAATTGTGTTCCATCTAGCTCTAAAACTGCCAATTGTAGGTACCTTTTATATTGGATTAATAAGAAAATGTCCTATTGAAGCTATAGTATATCATCCAAAGTTGCACGCTTCTGCCTTTATGACATTTGGAAAGCATAAAAGTCAAGTTAAGCTTGAAATATCGAGTGGATACCATTTTATGCACCGTCGACAAAAAAAATTATTCCACAAGTATACCTATTTGAAATAACGAGTGGCTATTTTTGAGTTTTCCTCGTAGCCTTGAAAGTATCCGAGACGGTCATGTTTCTTAGCATTGGGGCTTTGCTTGATTATCAAGAGTTTTGAACCAATCCAACAAGCAAAAATTAAAGATCCTTATGCCAAGACACCGTAGAATTATTATACCATGAAGTTACAAGGATGTCACCAAGATAAAAAAGAAAGCACAAAGAACCAACCAGGAAACAAAGAGCAAAAGGTGTAATAAACATAAAAGAAAAACCCCAAATTGATCCGATGAAAACAGAACAATGCTTGAAATCTTACCTAATTGTGAGCTCGAGTAAGACATTTTTCGAGGTTTCGACATGCAAGTACCATCAAAATACCAACAACTCAAACCAAATATTATATGATGATAGTAAAGGTCAAGCTTTCTAGACAAAAATACCATTAACTTTGCTTATGGAGTACAACATTGACCACACAAAACCTGTGCTATTCATCTGGAACTTTGGAGAGAGCTGCAATGGTTCTCAAAAACATATGTGCAAAGTTAGGAGGTAGTTGACCACACATTTATAAGATCTTCTACACTTTGTGTAACCCTTAGACCCGGCCTATGCGTTACGACTAAATCTAGCAGATTACGATAAAAATTTTCAAAATATTTTTCAATAATTTAAATCCATATTATGAATAAACACATTTTAAAAACATAATTATTAATAATAAGTTCATATTCGAGTAATATATAAAACTATAAATGTCTAAGTAAAACAAAATCTTTCACAAATCAGTATCGATGTAATTCTAACATTAGTCCAAAAGCAATATATGTTGCAATATAAGTATTCAAAATAAATAGACACATATCACCCATCATAATGGCAAATCGGAAGATAAAAACTTAACAAAATAATAATATTGTACGAATGTATCGATCCTCCAAGTGTCAGGTTCGGATAGCCTATCAAAAAGTATCAGAAAGAGAAAAGTTTGGGGGAGTGAGCTAGGGAGCTTAATGTGTTCCAGCAGTGCAAAATAAAAACATACAATTAAGTTTCAAAATTGGTTCATTATCAAAGTTATGAAAATGATAGTAGAGTTATAGTTTAAAATACAAAACAACCCTTCAAACGTACGCCATATGCAATTCCCCAGAACTGCATCCATAAGTACTTACTTTAGGCCCAAAGGGCGTAGATGCCAACCTAAGGGAGCACCTTAGGTCCACAAGGTCTTATCCTAGCCGAAGCGTAGGTTTCTACCTGAGGGTGTGCCCTCAGGCACATAAGGACTTACCCAATGCACATAGTAAAATCCACCCTAAAGGAGTATCTTAGGGTCCATAAGGTCTTACCACTAGGCCCATTGGACCCAGAAGCCCACCCGAAGGTCGCCTTATGTCCATAATGAATTACCAGCTTGATCGGTGTTGAACCTACTGAGAAATTACCAGCTTGATCGGAGTTGAACCTACAGAGACTCAATACCATATCCCAAAGTACCCCAAAGAGAATAGTTTTCAAGCAGTAACTAACAGTATCAAGGAAATTATAGTTCCAGCAGATATCAATTTAATAAGAACATAACTAGAGAACATGAATCAAACAAGTATACTTAAAACTTCATTAAATCAGAAATCAGGCTTGAAACAGATAAATCATACGAATTAAATCAGATCAACCACTATATTGTAAATCAAGTAAAATAGTTATGTGCACATGATATTTCAAACATATATATATCACAAGGAACACACCTCGCAAAACGGGTCGGATCAGGAGTTATACTGAGTACTCGTCTCGTTACGCTTTACAGCATTGCACAATCGCGTACAGATGGATCGCGAGGTATCAGGAGTTATACCATCAAATATATGAACTCAATTCCTAACATAATTTCCCTCGCCATAGAAATAACTTATTAGAATCTAAAAAAAATTTGAGGACCCAATTGGTAAAACTAAAAACTGATGGTGCTACTATAATATTTAATTACTAAAATCAGGGCTAAAACGAACTAATCTAAACTATCAAAGCTAGGTTGAACACTAAAATTGAATAACAAATCAGAATTTTACTGAAAATGGAGGAATAAAAATGTGATTTGACCATCTCCCTTTCCAAAAACCATGCTACCTTTGAAGTAAAATAGAAACAATTATGGCATAATTATAACAATTTGGAAGTTGAAAAACAAGCTTAAGCTTTTACCAAACTTGGATGACTTACCTTGTAATTTTCCATTCTCAATTTATTAACAATCTCCAAAACCATATACGCTTGAACCATTCTTTATTTCACAATTTATTTTATTTCTTTTAAATTCTCCCACAATCGAAAGCTCTGTACGAAGACAAAGAAGCTTCATCGGCCATTATTCAAATGCCGGTGACCACCGTGTCGGCCGTCGTCGACGGTTGCCAACCAAGACCCAAGTTACACCGTTCAAAGCGCCTTGGTCCTCTCCATGAATATGTCCTATGTTCATCGAGAAACTCCATAGATGGTCGTGGATCTACAGAAAATGTTTAGCTTTCTGGAAATAAAGGCTTTCGCTCGCCGTCGACAATCGTCCGATGGAGCCATGTTTACAGTATGTTGATCCTCGCTACCATACCGCTCTTCCCGCCGCACGAATCTTCCAACCAACATCAGAATCATCGGGAATCGAAAAACTTACCCCCATTGACCTTTGTATTTCATTTCTTGTTGATTCTTGCTGCCTGGATGTTATTCCTTGGTCGTTTGGTTACAGGTGACGACACGGTGCATGAACAAACTTGCATACTCGGTCTTTCAACACTGTCAGAGCTTGACACTGTTGGAACACTATCACTACTGTTACTGGATGAGAGAAGGTTGTTGTTGTCGTTTTTGGTTCGGGTTACTGATCTTAGGTCGAAAATGTTGATGGCTCGAGTTAAGGCATGCTATGGGTCGATTAAGCGGGTTGACGAGTAACCAAAATAGTTCCCTGGTTCTCTGATTTAAATTTAAACTTTTTCACCAAAATATCATATTCATTTGTGGTTCTAAATATTTTGGATAAAATATAAAGTTCACATCAGACAAAAAGATAAAAAATTTACGTGAATTTTAAAAGAGAAATAATCTCAGTGACCAAAAATCCCATATAATATACGATTTTAACCAATTTTTTTCGGATTTGTCAAAATGACCAACAAAATCGCAATGCGATCACTAATTCGCAACGCGATCTCCATTATCGCAAATTCGCGTTGCATTTTCGCAATGCGATAGTTGAAAATCGCGTTGCGATGGTCTACAGTATCGTTACGATTTTCCCAATTCGCAATGCGAATAAGTAAATCGCAACGCGAATTGGGAAATTCGCAATGCGAATAAGTAATCGCAACGCGAATTGGGAAAATCGCAATGCGATACTGACTATCGCAATGCGATAATAAAAATCACAACGAGATACTTACTTTCGCAACGCGATACTGACTTTCGCAACGCGATAATACATAATCGCAATGCGATTTTCAAAGCGCCATTAGTATCCTGGCCAAGTATTTTATTTTTAAATTCCAAACATGAATATAAATATATTGGAACACTGAACTGTCCACAGTATATCCCGTAATCGCAACTCATAACCTAAAACCTAAAATCACAACTCAGTCCCATCTCCATCTCTCACTCTCTCACCCATCTCCGACGAAATCCGTCCCCATCTCCGGCGAAATCCGTCTATCTAAATCTCTCAAAGCCACCCTCACAATCAGAAATGGAAAATCAACCAAATCAACCAACGAGGGTTAGTTTTTTTAATTATTTTCTTTTTGAAATTTTTGCATTATTATTAGGTTTTTCACATTGAAATTGATTATAGGTTTACTGGTAATTTCAATAATAGATTAACCATTTCACTTAGATTGCTTATTAAATCAACCAAGAATCGCAACGCGAAATGCAAATCGCAACGCGATTTTAGTTTCGCGTTGCGATTCTCTCGTTGCGATAGTCATTTTCGTGTTGCGATTTTCATTTTCAGAAACTATTCTTCTTCTGCAAATTGAAACTTGAATGAATTGCATTACTTCAACCAAAAAACAAAGACAATACGAAATTCACAGTGTTGCATATTTAAGTTTGAAGAATAAACTACTACTATTTATGTTTATTATTTTTTGGTATATCTTCACAGTGTAGTTTTTGGTATATCTAATTTAGTATGTTTATTGTTTTTGTAGAACTTTTATTCGGCTCAATTGACCTTGAGAAATAAAGTCAGCCTGGCCAAAACAATTGCGTTGAAGCTTTCACCTGCACAAAGAAAAATGTTTGAGGATACATGCTTCGGGCCATGGCTGAAAGTACAACATCCCGGTGGAGATGCGATGTTGACACACCTGTTTCTTCAAACCATGACTAGAGATCTACCAGAGACTATACACGTCGTGATGAAGAGATATGGTTTGATTTTCCACCGGCGTATACGTGTTTTGGGCGGGAGGAGTTTTGCTTAATCACCGGTCTACGCTTCGGACACGATGATTTAGGTCGGTATACTAGACACATTACCCGCCCATCATGGCTATCCCGGGTTTTCCCTGAGCTGGAGAGGCCGAGTCTACACGTAGAAGACCTGACAAGATTTTTGAATAATAAAGATGGTTTTACTCGGATGGATGACGTCGACGTTGTCCGAGTATGCCTTCTAATTCTTTTGCATGCCGGCTTTTAGGCAGAGAGGCCAGACAACCTATTCCAAATGATCTAATCAAATTGGTAGAAGACCTAAATGCGTGGAACCTGTTTCCGTGGGGCTCGTATTTATGGAAAGCTACATGGAAAAGTTATCGTCTGCCTTGGATGATCGAAAAAGTTTGCATGGCGATGGTTCCAAATACACTTTGACAGGCTTTTTGGGCCTTTAAGGTAAGAATTTTTATATAATGTTTCCAAAATTATAAGTAATTATTTAACAATTACTAATGTTTGTTATTATATTGTTTGTAGATTTGGATATTTGAGGCCTTTCCCGCCATGAAGACATATGTAATAAAAACTTCAAATAATATTCCCAGGGCTATTTCCTGGAAGAGGAAATGAACCTTGCAATGGGAAGATTTACTACGGTATACGACAATAAATAATGTAAGTTAACATAAATACTACCATATGTTTATAAACAAGTTATTACTAGTACACATTTAACTTTGTTTAAGCTTTTATATTGTTAGGAGGCCAACACTCCTCTACAGGCTGACACCCACGGAAGCTGAGCTTGCCACTGATTGGTGGCAAGCTAGTAAGCGTTTTTTTGATGGAACGGTTGATGAGCAGCCCCCACTTCGGGAGCCATCACCTCGCCCAGAGCTATCACCTCACCTAGAGCCATCATCTGATCGACCCGGCTATACACCTCCACAACGACAGCCATCACCTATTCTTTCACATCATCGAGTCTCTTCTCCACCATCACCGCAAGATAGGCGACCGGCAAAGATGTCACGACGTTTATCTCCCTATTCCCCACCTCCACCTCAACGGGATGAGTTAGGAGAGTTACGTGATGAGGTCAATGCCTTGCGTGAGGAGGTTGGTACTTTACGCAAAGACGATGGTGCATGGCGTGTTGAGGTGTCTACATTACGCGGTGAGGTAGCCGCTCTACGTGAGATGGTAGCATCGTTACAGAATGAGGTTCATACTCTACGCAACGAGGTAAGTTTAAGATTTTTCATACTCGTAATTCATTCGGTTGCTGCCAATCTGTTTTTGTTAGTATTTGTTTTTGGTTTTGTTTTTGTCTTTTGGTTGAAGTAATGCAATCCATTCAAGTTTCAATTTGCAGAAGAAGAATAGTTTACTTTCGCAACACGAAAATGACTATCGCAACGCGGAAATGGCTATCGCAATGCGAAATGAAAATCGCAACGACAAAATCGCAACGCGAAATGAAATCGCAACGACAAAATCGCAACGCGAAATGAAATCGCAATGCGATTTGTGTTTCGCGTTGCGATTTCATTTCGCGTTGCGATTTTGTCGTTGCGATTTTCATTTCGCATTGCGATAGCCATTTCCGCGTTGCGATAGTCATTTCGCGTTGCGATTTTAAGTTTCGTGTTGCGAAAGTAAACTATTCTTCTTCTGGAATGTTTATATATGTTGTCCTTTTAAATGTTTATATAAGTGCTTACTTCTGGAATGTTATCTGAGCATTTGTGAACTATGATAGAATAATGATTTGGGTGAATACAATGCTAGTTTGAAACATTTGTCTTTGTTTAATATCATGTCTGTTTATTTACTGATTTATGTATTAATTTTTTTTAGCGGCCCGATAAGGTGGATGCTTTACGTCGGGTTTTCCTTGCACGACAGAGTTCACGCATCAGACGGCGTGGACGTGCTATTACGTCTCCGTTCACCCCAATGGTGCGAAGACTCCGCAAGAAGAAGCCCGACTCACCGGTCATCCCTCAAGAGTCCCCTCCAATCGTTCAAGAGGCCCCTATTCTCCCTCAGATTCCCCCCCCCACCGTTCAAGAGGCCACT